TGCGTTACATCTTTTACAGAGAAGATGAAGAAGGAATTGGAAAATTTAGAGACAGAAGTGCTGTGCTCTGTAGTTAACCCTGCTTTTAGCCCTTCTGCATGTGAAACCAAGCAGTTGAGGGTTAGCAGTGCCTAAAATGGAAAGAATTAAGCCTATCCGTGTACCTATTTTTCCTTCTGCAAAGCAAATTTCAAGGGCAATTTAGGAGAGGGAGTGTTTCTTCACATTAAATAACTGCCTGCTGAAAAGGCAATGTTACTTCTCAACCAGCTTTTTATGACTGACTTTCCTTCCTTTGGGGGTTGGAGGGGCAAATGTCTGCTTTGTAATATTGCTGTCCAATGTAGTTGCTATTATAAAGTTCTCGAGGAACACTGTATCAAATAAAAGAGGAGAACTTTGCATACCAGTAGATCTTCTCCAGTTACTAAATTTATCCACATGCCTGAATTTAAGGTTGGAGGATTAATGGTACTTAAAGGTGGACACATCTCTCCCTTTTACTTCCTCTTTGTCCTCTTCTCCTTCCTCCAGTAACCTCACGTAACCCATTTTGCTTTGCCAGAAGCTGAACTTTACTCTCTGAATATCAGTGAATATGTTTTTCTTATGTGATGTTTTGCAGTGCTTAATTTTGGCAGATACGCACAATGAAACATGCAACAGAGATTTGCAGGAGGTGTATCAGCAGTCGGGGCTCTCAGAAATTTTAGGTGGGCAAGTGTGTGCCTTGAGTACTTCTACACAGTGAAAATTTCTGTTCTTTATACCTTGGTAAAATTGTGTCATGTATTAAACAATACCATTAATGTGTGTGCAAGTTTGAATTCTGTGATAACATGTAAGTGTTAATCAGTTGATACTTTAAAAGTATACACAAATACATTGCAACAAAGCTGCCATTTAATCTGTCATAACATTTATATATGTTTTCTAAAGTTGTTAAAGTATAGGAAATCTTTAGAAATTACCGATTTTACTCATCCTAATTGTTGGCTTCATAGTTATTGCTCTAAAATGTCTTAAATACGTTATGGCATGTTAATATACAACCAGTATATTCTCTTAGGGTGTCTGACTAAAAAATTGTGCAAATAATCCTATGCCTGATAGTTTCTTACATGAGACAATGATGAACAGGGGTTATTCAGTACCTCTGTTGAATGCCGTTTTCTCAAACTCCTCCACATCTTAAAATCTTGGCCAGTAGAATTAGTATTATGTAATATTACAAAAATGCAACGAATTCTTGCATTTTGATATTTGAAGCAGGCAAGAAGTCGTACCGCCTAATGTTAACGCAGCCTCAAGTTGTTTAAAACAATGTTTGTGTTACTCAACTCTGTGTTCATTTCTATTCTTATGTGTTGGTATTAATACTTAAATAAATATTTGCCAAGCAGTGTCACATTGCTTGATCACATAACTTGTAGACCAGTTTTTCGTGATACACAAATGTAGAAGGGTGGAGTGAGGGTTATTTTTTGTAAATGTTAAAGAATAAATTGCTTAGATATTAAAGAATACATTCTTAATGGATGTATTGAAGAATACATCCATTAAGGACTTAATACACCTTTGCGCGAGACTTTTATCTTTGTGGCAAATGCAGACAACAGGCATGAAATGTGTTATGGTTCCCTCAGGGAATGCCTCCTCTTGTCAGAACCCATGTAGCTTTGTCACTTTGTCATAGTTTTATCTCTTCAGAAGCCAGGCGAGTCAAATTACTGCAGACTTCTGTGTAGGAACAGGTGGGGTTGATCCCATTATCCCTTCTGTTTCTAGCATGCATTCCATAGGAACCACGCGAGACCGGGACCAGTACAACAGTGCAGCCAGTAACAGGCAAAAATTTCAATGAAGGGGCCACGGGGGCTCTTTTTATGCATCTAAACACATACTTAATTTTAGAGTCCAGTATATCCAGTGGCTTGAGCAAGAACTGGTCTTTTGGCCCATTCCTAGTATGTGCAGATGTAGTGGGTGTATTTGGGTGGTTTAAACGATAAACAATGTAAATATAATTCTCTATCAAATACATACAAAGCTCACAATATAGAGACATTCTTGAGCCTAAAATTAGATTTACACTCAAACTGCAGGTAATACTCAAACAAATATAGCAGAGCAGTAGGTATGCATAGGCATGAAACATCTACCTCGCTGCTTTGTCAGAGCCATGCTGATAAAATTCTTCGAGGCTGTAATTTAGTCAGCCAGAAGTGATTGTGCTCAAAAGAAACCACTGCGTGGGTGAACTTGTCTTGGCTATTCTTGGAGCAATACACTTTTAGATTAAGTCAGTTTTATTTAAAAAGTGATATGCAATGGTTGTGTTCCCAGGTCAAAATGTAAATAGCTCGTCAATTAGACTGTAAGTGTAATTTATTTGAGGAGTGCTGGGGGAAAACTTGAAGTATATCACAATAAATATGGGTGGCAATAAAATGCAGATTAGCTCTGAATTTTGCAGGCTCAGACTTGAATTCCCCAAAAATTGACCCTTGAACTGAAAAGGGATTATTATGTTCCTCTGTGTATCTGTGTCCATCTCATGTGCGTTGCATACTTGACCTTCCTACTGCATTTGATTGCCTTGTTAGGGACATAAGCCACTAACGGATTTGTTTGCGTAGTCTGCAGGATTATGGAAATCAGGAGTGTATCCCTTCTAGATTATGTATTAAAATTAATCACATTCTTATTGGGCACACGTTTGTTCCCCTGTACAGAAGGAATATTCGGCTTGTGTTTCCTGCTCTCATCACCTGCTTGAGACTTAGAGGTTACATCTGTATTACTGTAGCAGGAGACATAAATTGCAGCAAGAAAAATCCTGATTAGAGAGTAATAAAAATTACCCACTGAGAGGATGGTGAAGCACTGGGACAGAGCCCAGACTGGCTGTGGAGTCTCCATCCTTACAGACAGTAAAAACTGGCAACCTGAGCAACCTGATCTAACATCAGATTTAGCTCTGCTTTGTGTAGGGGGTTGGACCAGATGATCTAAATAAGGAGGAAAAGAAACAAACCTTAATCCTGAGGCTGGTAGTAGAACCTGGTTTGCATCCACTTTGCTCAGACCTAACCGTTGTGCTTGGACCTGGGACTCCTCTGACCTCACTGTGATGCTCTTCAGTCCCTGATATTTTTGGTTTGGGTGGTTGTTTTTTTTGCAAGTTCTAGTGTCTGAAATAATCTAAGGGAAGTCTTCCAGAGCTGGATTTGGTGGAAGAATGTTGATGGACTGGGCAGGGTAGACAGAGACAACCCAGGGGCAGTCTCATCCATTCTGGGTTTGGAGCAGTCCCTGAAGTAAACTACTTCTAGACTTATGGTTGTGCTTTTCTGGCAAAGAGGAAGATTAAACCAGTCTGAACCAGAGCAAGCAAAGATGCTAAAACTTCAGCATAGGCATAGTTTGGACTTGGGTGCTTGAGTCTGCTCCCAGAGCATCCTGTCCTAGCATCAAGAGATGTACCCTGTGTTTTCCAACAATTGCCAAGTAATTGTACTAGGAGTTAGTTTTCTGGAGCATGCTTCTTTAGAGATTGAAAAGCTTTTGCTTTTAAAGTTCACAAGTAGCCTTTTTCATGGCTACTTTTGAACCAAGCAAATACAGGAGTTTGTTTGCAGGGTAAAAGGCTAGTTTAGGATTTACGGTTGCTGTAGAAATAACAAGAGGTGGATGTCTTGGTGTAGGGCATTCCTCTCCTTTTGAAATAAGCAATGCAGTGTAAATAAATACGTTAGATTATATGGGATTCTTTCTTTTGGAGACAGGGGTGGGGATGTTGTTAAAGACAATTTCCTCCTTTTCATTACTTGCTAGGATCAGAATGGATAGTCAGTGTTGCTTGTTTTAGTAGAATGATCATCTGGAAGTCATCTGACTGCAGTAACTGCTCGATGTGCCCACATCAAGCTGTATAAAAGAATCAAGTACTGTGATATTGGCAAGCTGATACCCTCTCCAGTAATGAGGACCTAGGTTTCTGCCTGTAGATGGACACAGAGTAAAAGCCAGTCCTTTGGCCTCCTAGTCATGCCTGGTGCTTCTCAGCTGAGGCACTTGGATGTATGTATTAAATTGCCAGCTCATCCTTAAATAGCAGCCTCCAGTGAACTGTAAATGCAGTGTAGAACGTGCTGTAGCTGGGAATTTGAGGAAGGAGGAATTCCACCTGACAGAAGTGCTGAGACTTGAAAATCTAGCGAGGTTTTCTTCTGGCAGCTTCAAAGCTAGCAGGTCTCTGTAAATGCAGGCTCTGGAATTAATACAGTGGCTAATAAAGGGTTGTCATTCTCTTCAGTAGCTCACGGGGTCTGTACAGCCAACAGGGAAAGTTGTCCTTTGCTTTACTCAGGCAAATTAATAAATACTGCTGAATAAAGAAGTTTCTTCTCTAAAATTCTGCTTTTGCTATGATTATGTCTGTAAAGGGCAGCATCCAGTGTCCAGATGGTCTGCTTTAGTTTGGCTTCTTGAGCTCATGCTTTCCCTGCTCATCCCTACTGCCAGTGATACCTCATTATTTCATTGACATTTGGAGGGAACGTAATCTAAATGAATACAGATCTTGCTTTGCTTAGAGGAATTTGATGCCATACCTAAAACTAATACAGATATATTGTTTTACAGTGCATCCCTGCTCCAGGGAGATAACATTGTGGGAGAGAGGAAGGAACCAGACCAGTTGATGAGAAGTAAAGCTTGAGCAAGTTTAGAGGTGGTCCACCTGGGGACTCTCCAAGTTACAATTAATTTTTGAAAGTTCTGAAATTCATTTATTTTAGTTTCCAACTTCAAGCGACCTTAAGCTTTCAGGTGTGCTGGCTCAGTGTAGGAAACAGCCTAGGAATTACCTGCTGCCTGTAAACTGAAAATGGAGGTTTTACATGAATTTAACACCAACATATTTTTTCTTCTCCCCCCCTTCCTTTTCTCTTCAATTCTTCCCTCCCTTGGATGTCCCCCTTCCCTGTGTCCTTCAGGCCTGTATAGATGAGAACCTGGACATGGTGAAGTTCCTTGTAGAAAATGGAGCCAATGTGAACCAGCAAGATAATGAGGGCTGGACCCCTCTTCACGCAGTGGCATCGTGTGGCTATCTGAACATAGCAGAGTGAGTGAGTTTCAGGCTATTCTGAGTATTTATAACTCTTTCCATGTCTTCCTCTTTGAAGCAGGTACACAGGCGGTTGATGCTCTGAGACTTAACACAATGCCTTGGGAAGCAATGCTGTAAATAGATGCATTTCTCCTGTTCTTGAGTTCCTAATTTGTAAGGATTAAGGTAGAGCCTGCAACTAGTTGCTTTCTGCTGATCCCATTAGAGTGACTTATGATTCACTAGATACTTCAGCTAAAGTGCCAAGCAGCAGGGAAGCAGGATGGCTGGCAGGCAGGCACGCTAATGCAGAGACACGTAGGGAAGCACAGCTCTGCTGCTGCTGCCTCTCTCTGCTGGGCACTTCCATCAGCAGGGAGCCCATGTAGAATTTTAAGTGTTACCCAACAGCGATTTTGCATATTATTCCTCTAGCTGAAAATAATTTTGCCTCTGTACAAAACGCGTGTTGGTGTAATTACATGCATATAGCTATTCTGGTGTAAACCCCAAACAGTAGATACGTGGCACATAGAAACCATTTCTAAGAGGGACCACACCAGTGCTTACCCTTGTTCTGAGGCTTTGCAAAGCAGCTACATTTTCTTACCATGGACAGGCCTATGTGAGCAGTACAGAGGTTGTGTGGAGACTTTCAAGAAAGAAATGCAATGTTCTGGGCTTTGGAGTCACCAGTATACCAACAGAATCGTTTCTTTTTCTTTAAATTCTGATCTTATGTTTGTTTCTTGTATACTGTCTGACAAAAGATGGAGAGGTAGATAAAAGTAACTGCTTGTTACTTAACTCACAATTAGAGCATTGTCTTGTTGTATTTTTTTGTTTTGTTTACAACACAAGGTATTGGGCTCCATTTGGACATAACTGAGTGAAATTCTGTGGCCTGCCTTAGATTAGATAATCTAGTGTGTACAAACATATAAAAGAAGAGACAGTAAGTATAACAGAGTCTTGTTCAGTAGGTGTTTAAATCAAATCAGTAACCTGCTATAAGTGACTCCCAACAAAGTTTTGACTCTTCTTGGCACAGTTTCTGATTCCAGGGTTTGAAATAGCATTCTGCACCTGATCTGAGCATTCATTATACTTACAAAGGGCTAACAGTCTGTTTGTCCTAGAGAAGGTACACCAACAAGTTGCTCTGAGACTTTGAGAGTTGCTCAAATATATGACCTCAAGTGCTAGAATAACTGGAACCAAAGAATGGACAAGCATAAATGGTAGTTTCACAAGTGAAATAATTTTTCTGTGATAAAGGCTCCATTGTAGGTTAAAAGAATAAGGGGAAATGATAGTCTTTCCCAAGATAGTCCTCTACAATATGTTCTAACCAAAATAGTATCTTTTGTGGCTCATCTATTTCTGTGTGTTGTACTTCTGGAACAATTCTTAGCTCTATGGATGATCCTTTATCAGTTTGTTTTTTCCTTCTTCCCAAATACTAGTTCTTCAAATGAAATACATTACTATTCTTTACCAGTCATACCATGCTTATTTTGTCCACCACAGCTACTAAAAAGTTACAAAAATTTGAATGCTGGTACCTGTTTCTCAAAGGCACTGAAAATAAATTTTATAATAAAACGAAGCATAAATTTCTTATACCTCACCCTCCTAGATCTTTGTGTTTAAACAGATACTATTTTACTTCCCATATTTTTACTGGTTACGAGATGTACAAGCCAAAGAAGATACTAATTGTTCTTGAATGAACTTCTGGTATAGTTATAAAAAGACAAATTAAAAAAATTGATGATGTATTGGCTTACCTTTTTTTTTTTCACAATTACTTCCCTAAAAAAAAAAAAAAAAAAAAAAAAAGCATAATCTATCGGGTTAGTGCATGAACTAGGGGTACTTGATTAACTGTAGAGAAACAAAATGAGCGACTGACCAGGGACCTTGTATTTAAAAATGAACTTTTTTAATCTAAAAATTTGATAAGAATAAGACACTCATTTGGTAATTGAACTTGAATGAGAAAGCCAAATGTTTTGTTCTGCTGCTTAATTTACTGTTAGGTTGCACTGAAGCCTGCACACAAGGTCTAATACATTCCTCTGGGTCTTATTCACATAGGTACTTAATTAGTCATGGAGCCAATGTGGCTGCTGTGAACAGCGAAGGTGAAGTCCCATCTGACATCGCAGAGGAGGCAGCCATGAAGGACCTGCTTCTGGAACAAGTAAAGAAACAAGGTAAATCAGTAGTGGGATTGAATACGTGAGAGTTAGACCTCTGAGAGCTTCTTACAGAACATTCTGTTGGCTTACTGACTATAGATGAAGAGATCTGAAATCTGGCCCAAGAGGCAGCAGACAAATGTTGGTTTGGTGGCAGAACAGTGGAACAGATGCAGGAGGTTTGTGGTGTGCAGTTTCTCTGCATTAAGTAGGATTCTTCAAAGCAAGACACCACAGAACTGAAAGCTGATTTGTTAGATCTGTTTGCTTGTGAAGTGAGATTTCATTCTGATCTCTGGTATCGATGAAATATCTTATTTCACTAAAACTTAATAATAGAGAGGTGAGATTTTTACATCCTTGCCAAGAGTAGGGACTGGGAAATGAGTATGCCTGGCCTGGAGTGACCTGTTCTATCCCAGTCCTTCCCAAGACAACTTCTGCAGCCCACCTGCTCTGCTATTTCTCCGTTCTCATCAGGTGTGCCTGTCTGAGGTGCTGCTCTCTGTGCTGTCCCTGCAAAAGCATCACTGGTAGAAGCAGCATCTTGGATAGCATAATTTATTTTAGAATTAAGAAATGCTTCACCAATGTAAGATTTTTCTTTGTACTCATTAAATTAATCTGTGAGTGGTTAGGTATCTGTACATACACGTAAGAAGTTTAAACCCTGTCTGTGAAGTTCATCAGGAATGTTTTTGAAGGATGCATTTATTTCAGCTGTGTGGGGAGTGATGAACTGAGGCAGCTGAGCTGACACAGATCAAACTATCCACATTGGGTATGTATGAGCTGTGTATTTCTCCTTGAGAAGAGAAAGTTGCCAGGGGGATCAAATTGCTGTCCTTGAGGGAGGCTATAGAGACAATGGAGCCAGACTCTCCCAAGCTGCACAGTGACATGATGAGAGGAAAAAGTCATAGGTTTGAACAAGGGACATTCTGACTGCATGCATATATATATATATGCACACATACACACACACACAGGGAAAAATGTTTGCCAGTAAAGTTATGAAACAGGGACCCAAGAAAATTGTGGGATCTCCATCATTGGAGGTGGCCAAAACTCAGCTGCATTCAGCTCTGAGCAACCTGCTCTGGGTTTGAAGTCACTCTCCTTGGAGCAGGGATTTCGGCTAGAGACCCCCGAAGATTTTCCCCCCCCCCCCAAGTCTAGATTATTATATGACTGCAGGTTGGAGTTGGGGTGATTTGCATGCTGGATTGAATCTGGCCCTCTAACACATGTATTCTGCTTGGCACACGATGGTTATTTTATTTTCAAAGCTATTTTCAGGTATAATTAGGAAGAGATCCATACCTTGCTACTTTGTCAACTGTGTTACTGCTCCACTGGTGAGTTTGTAGCTGTCCACCTGAGAGCTAGTTAGTATTTATGTTACTGTTCCTCTTGGAAAATTGATGCAGGATCATGTATGTACCTTCTGGTAAATAGAAAATTTTCACTTTCTAGTCTAGTATTTCTAACAAGGTTATTCTTATTTTGTTCCCCTATCCCTTCCACTTTGAAATAAGCTTAAATAGCCCTTCTCCCTTACATTTAGTCTCCTCATGTATTTACAAAGAAGAATTGTGTCTATAGTCAGCATTTATTTTACTGGGCTGTCCACACCATGCCTTGTAAGGTTTCAACCATGTTATTACCATGTACAGTTGCTGATACCTACTTTACAGAGAGATGAGTTACACTGATGTAAAGAAAGGATCTGTACCTTTCTGTGCATCCAAGGAGGCCTGACTGCAGAGAGGAGACAGGCATGGTTTGGACACCCAGTAAAACAAACGCTGGCTGTAGACAGCTCTTCATCTAATTCTGCCTCAGCTCCAGATATTTTGCCTGACACTTCTTGGGATTCTGCTTGGCTTTTTCATTGCTTCACCACATTAGCAGCATCCTGCTAAGATGCCCCGAAACAACCATCTGTCTCCACTGAGAAGTTTCCCATTGACACAGTTGAAAAGGATCATAACTGCTGGAGTAAATGTGTTATAAACTTTAAATAAGTGTCCATTCAGCTCTGTAGCTTGTCTTCAATGGTGGCTCAAAGCAGATGTCTGCTGCAAACTCTACCAGGACAAGTGCTATGATTCCCTTCCCAAACATTTTCCCAGCCTCCAGTCACTGTGCCTCAAGGAATTCCTGAGCCAGATGGACTTTCTGTGTACTCCTGATTCCCCTGTGGCTTTCTGTTTCATGAACTTGAGCAGTCCATGGGAACTTCTGGCATGCATAGCATTACGTTTAGTAACTACAAATTTGTCTAATCCTTGTTCTGAGGCCAGTTGTATTTCTAATTTTTGCAAAGTCCTGTGGTAGTGGGTTTCACAGTTCAGACTGAGTTGATCAGTACTTTCTTTTGTTCTGTTTTAAATCTAATGCCCCATAATTTAATTAGGAATTTTGTTGTTCTTATTCTGAAATAACTAATCCATAGGGACAGTTGCTCTTAAACACCCTTCTTGATTTTTGAGATTTGTTACCTTCTTCATGTTTTTTCCCTGCATCAGCAAGCTCTAGTCTGATCAGTGTTTCATGGAGCTGTATTACACTTCTAATGTGTCATCCTTACATGACCTCATTATCATGAAAACTACTTACAAATACAAGGTTGAGATAGTTTTCCTTCTTGTTGGTTTTATCTGCCAGACCCACCTGGCCTCCCCATGTAGTAGCAGTTGTTTTCTGGAGTGGGAAACTTGTCCCTCTTGTGATCAGAAAGCCCCACAGACCATGTCTCTGTTGTACCAGCTATGTATGGATGGATGGACTTACTTGATCTGACTTCATCTAAAGCAGATCTCTTAAGACATCAGATTAATTTTTTTTTTTTGCGTTCTATCTCCAAAATGATTTAGAATTGTATTTTGTCAGAATCTAGTGATTTGCTGCTCAGTGGGATTAACTAAGTATTTATTTCGGTATGCCTGGCATGAACGTCTCTGGTGCGGTAGAGAGATCTCCGTACACGCAGCTTGCAAATCATACTGAATTTTAAGTGACCGTATAGTTGGGGTTGTGCTGCTCCTCAGATCTTCACTGTGGATTATATTCTCACTGTTACTTAGTTCAGTTTGTTAGTCTGCTATTTGTGACTTGGTATTTCAGTCTAGTTGGTTCATGGTCGAGCTAGCAGTTAGGCTGGCTTGCAACCAGTGGCTAACTTTCAGGTTGGTTTTTTTTTTGAAGTCTTTGTCAGTGATGCAGTAGTTCTTCCAACTCCTAAAAAATGCTTTTGTGGATTTTTGTGGAAGATTATAAAGAGGTTACTAATATTGTACAGCAAATGAAACATAGGGTAAGTTTTAACATGTTAATGAAAGCTTTCACTTAATAATCTCTTCTTCTGTGCTTCACCTTCTTAGGTGTAGACCTAGACCTGGCACGAAAAGAAGAGGAGCAGCAAATGCTACAGGATGCCCGACAGTGGCTGAACAGTGGGAGAATTGAAGATATAAAGCAGCCTCGAACAGGAGCCACGGCTCTTCATGTTGCTGCAGCAAAGGGCTATTCTGAAGTCATGAGGTAGGAGCTCCTTCCCAAGGCTGATACACTGAATTCGGGCTGTAAAGATTTTTGTAAGGAACACATCTAGCTTTATAGCTGAGAAAATTCATACTGAGATTTTCAGACTGCTGTTTCTCAAAAGGCTCCACAGATCTATGTGCCCAACTATAGTAGTTCACCTAGAAATATGTAGGGACTGGAAGATTCCCTTTCATACCTCTAGGCCTTTAAAGTGATGAAAGCTTTTCAGAGGCTGAGACATAAATTAGAAGGTTTAATTTTCACTATTAGACCTACAGTTTTAGGACTAGCAAGTAGAACAGTGTTAGGGGATAAAAGTACAATTTCAGCCTACAGCGTAACAGTACATGCTGTAGACAATCACAAACACCCCACGAGTTTACATGACCAGTCTAGTGGAAAAATGCAGTGTCCATCTCTATCTCACTGTGCCCTTGCCCTTACTGCTCCTGCAGCCGTTGGCAGTGACAGAGGGATTCCCACACATAGCAGTTCTGCTTCTACCCCTCTGGTACTAACAAGCTTATTATGAAGATAAACTTGCCCAATACAGTGTTTCCTGCGATAAAGCATTAATATTTGTACAGGAAAAGTCAAATTAAGGTTTCCAACAATAAAGCTTTCTTCTTAAGTGTGGGGGGAGCTGCCCATAAACAGCAGCAAGGTTACTCTGTTGCCGCATTAAAATCCCCTGTGGAAGCCTTCATCCTTAGATATAAGGCAGAAATTCTCCCCTGTGAGGGTGGTGAGGCCCTGGCACAGGTTGCCCAGAGAAGCTGTGGCTGCCCCCTCCCTGGAAGGGTTCAAGGCCAGGTTGGACGGGGCTTTGGGCAGCCTGGGCTAGTGGAAGGGATAGGTGGGACTGGATGATCTTTAAAGTCCCTTCCAACCCATTCTATGATTCTATATCTTAATCCTTAATTTCATAGTTTTAAGTGGCATGACTTGCTGTGTAAGAGCTGTTTCTTATCCAGCTCTAGTAATTTTTATTTTGTTCTTCATCTTTCCTGTTTGTATTCATTCATTAGAGCTTATAATTGAGTTATAAGCTGTCTGTGCCTGTACCGTGCCCAAGAACAGTTATCTAACACAGCTTATGTGGAACAGAAATGTAATATCCCTGAATTTGAGGTGTTGGTCTTGTGGACTTTCAGTGAAGGGTTGTATATCCAGCACTCCTCAATGATGGCTTCATTCACTGTTTCCAGGGTGACTGAGTTCTGGACAGCTACTCCTTGGTGTTAATTGTTATAATGATAAACAGATCTCATGGAAAGCTGACATTGTTTCTCTCTTGTGTATTTTATGGCCACCCTGTAAGTTCAAATGCAAAGCTTCAGTGACTTGAACCAAAAGGGCTGAAAGCCAGGAGCTAGCTAACTCTCAAATGAGATGTGGAATTTGTCTGTGACCTTGAGTCTCTTAGCAGCTATGTTCCTCCCTTTTGCCAGCTGGAAAATCAACATAAAGTCAGCACCTAATTTAAAATTTCTTTCACAGAGAAACACACTACTGCTATAGTATGACTGTGTTTTATTTAGCACAGTAAAGCATTGGTGTAAAGCTGCAGGAGTTTCAAAACTGTTGGTGCCATTCTGGGGTTGTGCTGGATTTCCCTTGTGCTGCGGAAGGGTGGCTCTGGGTGGTGGAATTTCCCAAGATGGTAATTTTCAGTAGCAGTTTTACAGAACTTGCAGAATTCCCCTGGGTGTTCTTCAATATTTAAGCAACTTGGATAATAGTCAGTTTTGATACATGAGCCGCTCGGTACTTTTCATCTGATCACTGGTGTACCAGTGTGCATATGTCTCTGAAGCTTCAGACTACAATTGACTCTCTTCAGTTTGTTTTGGTTTTAAATATTCAAGCTCCAGATGCTGTGCAACGCTAGCGCTCTGGTCTGATAGAAGGGAGTGGGTGGAAGGTGCACAGTAGTAAATGTGATACGGGGGTATTCCCAGGCAGGTTCTCTTGGGTAAGATTTGCTTTAACTGAGCAAGGACTAGTCTGCATTTTGAGTTGTTTAACCCAAATGTGGGTTATTTAACTTACAAATTTCACATCTGTCAATCACAGTAGTGGCAATGCTTCTTAGCTGCCAGTCCTGCTGGCATTGACTCCATATGGACTGTTCCTGCCTTGTCCTTGGGTAGAACCAAGACTGAGCTCTAGTTACCCAATGTCCTTTCATGCCAGGTACTGGGCTTGGCTCCTTGTTATGGAGATGGCAGTCTGCAGAGATGTTGTTTGTTTGCTTAGGGCCTGAGCAAGTCTGCTGTCTCTCATCCATTGGAGCAGGAGTTCAGACTGGGTCATCAATGCCAAATTAGAAATTAATGTCATCTCCCAGTTTAGGACATGCTGAAAGCAAACCTTATCAATCGGACTCATTCCAGCAGGTTTTACAGCAAAGTCACATTTCATTTACTGCACTCTTCTGTTACGGTTGCAAGCACATCAAGTAGGATGTTGCTTAGCTGAATAAACAATTTAAGAAACTACTGGCTTATGTTACCTACTCTGTGGTTTATGATGTGAACTCTTCTTTGTCGAGAAGTCATTCTCAGGTGGGCAGAAATTAATAATGCTTCTTTCCTCAGGCTCTTGATCCAGGCTGGGTTTAATTTGAACGTCCAGGACAATGATGGCTGGACTCCACTCCATGCTGCTGCGCACTGGGGGGTGAAGGAAGCTTGCTCCATCCTGGCTGAGGCACTGTGTGATATGGACATCAGGAACAAGCTGGTTAGTATGCCAAGATGTTGGCACAACTTATGCAGTGTATTTTATAGCCAGGTGAATGTCAACTTTATTGCCTACCACTTGATCCCATGCAATGACAAAGTTACATCGTGAGCAGTTCTTCTAGTGTGTGCACTGGAGCATTTAAAAGTATCAGAAAATAAAGAATCTTGACTGGAAGAAGGCAGAAGAGATTTCAAGTGTTAATGGAAAAGACAGGTGATTAAACTTTAAGGACCAAGATTGTAAGAAAGGATAGGGGCTAATCTGTGTCTTCCTGTTTTACTGCAATCCTGACAAATTAAACAACAACAAAAAAGACGGTCTTGGAGTGCAAAATAATATGCTAATATTAAAGTATAAGGCATTGAAAACTAGTAAACCCTTGAGATACTGGCAGCTTTAAATCCTTCCTGCTCTACTATATTGGTCATAAAAAGGGAAATTGGAAAATTGACTCAGACTCTTGAGAAATTAGTAAAGGAAAATAGGATGGAAGGGGGGGGGGAGGGAAAGAAGGAAAAAAATTCCTCTTCCATCCTAATAGAAGTTTTTCCTTGAAGAGCCTGTAGATTTTCAAGTGCTGATGTGTGCTTGTCCAGGGTTGTTCTTTGTTCACCTCCCTGCCTCCCCAGGCTGTGTCCGTGAACTGTTTCCTGCTGGAGCGGTTTTGGTTGTGCTTCTGGGGAGGAAATGAGGTTGTATGTACTTGGAACAGCACCGGGGAATGAGAGCAGGCAAGATGATTTGATAAGAGAACTGTGGCACTGTATGGTTTGAGTGCATCTGTCTGTGCTGGAAACTGATGTAAAAGGAATGGCTCTATGAGAAGGAGCCATTTTAGTGTGGTGAGCTACATGCCATCCAAAATATGGGGTATCTTCTTTAAGTGCCATCAGGTGCCTTTCCAAAGTGTTCAGAATGTGTGTGGGTTTTGTATTTTGGTAGACTTGAAAAGAAACAGGCACAGTTGTATTTGCTGCATTACCTGCTCTTTCCAGTCAAGGACTGTTACCTTGCTTGGTCAGATGGTCAAGGCAGCCTGTATGTGTCACCCCTAGCCATCAGGTTTCATTATGTGTTTTTAATTAAATGGTTATTACAGCATTAGTTATGGTGAAAATGTAACTGATTTCTTGTTTTGTGCCCAAAGTGATTTTTCTGGTTTGTTTTATTCTGTGAATAGCCATGGATGTGGAAATGGCTCCCAAATTTTATGGCCTGCTGCTGATTGGCAGCCTTTCCCGAGGTTCAAATACATGATGATACAGTAAAACAGGGTGATCACATTCCTTCTCAGTACAAGTGTCCTTTTGAGAAACCTGGAAACTCAGATATATTAGTTCTGGCTGTTAGATTTGAGCAGCAGCAGCAATCAAGGAACTGCACTTTCACGATTAAGGTTACTCTGATCATAGATTGAGTCATAAAACTACCATCACTGTTGTGTGGCTTTCCCTGCTCTGGAGTGAAGCGGAGTGTGTTACTCAGCATTTGGGGAGGGAGGATGCGGAGCATGTTCTCTTTGTTCTTCACTGGTGAATGGTGCTTTTTTGTATATGAACACTATGCCATATCAGATATCCTCTTGTCTTCTCTTATTGCATCAGGGCCAGACGCCATTTGACGTGGCTGATGAGGGACTAGTTGAGCATTTAGAAATGCTCCAGAAGAAACAGACTGTGGTGAGTTTCTGGCAGATCATTTTCCACCTCTCCAATTACCTTTTCATGCACAGGTGTTGTCTAAGACATATGGCATCAACAGACGCAGGAAGCTGAGGCCCAGCTATTTTTTCATGTTAGTCATTTTTAATCTTTAATTACACCAATATTTCTAATAGCTAGCAATCTAGAAAACTGAATGACTGCATCGAGAAGGTCAGTAGTGTGCTGACATGCAGAATTATGTAAACTGGTTAGGAATGTATCGTTCATCTTTGGAATTGTTATTATTCTGCAGTTGCTTTTGTTAGCTGGCAAGCTCTCTAGCTTCAAACTGATCTTTTCTTAATGAGTGATTACCCAAGTCAAATTTGTGTTTGCATCTAAGGAAATATGCTGTCAGTGTTGAGAAAGAGATCTGTTACCATGTCTGCCTTGGGAGACTTTTCATTGAGTGAGAAGAAATTATAAGCTTCAGGGAATTCTGGACTAAAAAAAATGGTGATTTCAAAACCATACTAAATTACCATTTCATAATGCAGTGGAGATATTGGAAGGGGTTATAAGCAGAAAATTGGCATTAAAAAGGATAGCAAAAATATATCTTAATCAAAGTAAAGGCAGTCATCAAGCCAGAAAGTTGTTTTTGGATTGTGTTTTTTCCTATTTCATCTGGTCTACTCAATTATCTCGTTTGGGTGCTTTCAAAAAATAAACCAACCTTCTTTAAAAAAAAAAAATCGGTATCATTTAAAACGTTGAATTCAGAAACAGACATAATGAGAACACTGCTGATAAAACCCAGCACAGTATTTTGAGGAACTGACAATGTGGGTGGTAGGACTCAAGCTCTGATCATAACACAGCTGCTGTCATCCTTAAATAGTATCTTTAACATTCACAGAAACTTTTTAAAAATTAATCAGCTTCTCCCTAAATGAGGTGTTGATAAATACTATCAGTGTTGTATTTTGGATTTCCTCCTATCTCACTACACCAGGATTCTGCAGATAACTGCAGTCCTTAAAAGAAAAGAAGAATAAGAACAATAATAAGAAAATTTTAGGATGGGTGCTAGCCCATTTCTACTCCTGCCTCACAGGGGCTGGCTAGCAACCCGCCTTGTTCTCTGTGTAGTAGCACTGTGTAAAGGCATTCTCCATTTATTAAATGACCATAGCAAGCTATAGTAGAACTAGAAAGAAAAGAATCCAGATTTTATCACACTTTTTAGTGGATGTGATTTTTTTAATAGAAATGCCCTTTTATCTTGTGTGTTTGTGTGCCATTTTTATAACTTAAAACAGAAAACTTACCTTTTTTTAAAGGATGAAATAGGCAGTTGCATGACATTCCTCTAAGCATGCGATTTTACTTTCAAAATGGCTCTCAAATGTAAATCTTGTGGTGGAGCAATATGTTGTCTTTGCTAAAATATTTGCTGCCATTACTGTAGAGAATAGGGAATTCTCTTTGCTTGAAGCAATTAATTTGATTTGGGTTTGGATTTTTTTTTCCCAGTCTCTGAATTACCTGTGAACGGAGCAGGCTGTTTCCTGCACTTCCCTTTAGTGTGTTCCAGCACTTAGTTTTATTTAACAGCATGCTGTACCCCAAATTTTGACTGTTTGCTGGACTCCAGGTAGTTTTTTCCATGCTCAGAATTTGCAGAGCTTTTGCTTCTTGTGCCTGGTGTCAGCTCCTTTCAAAAGAGTAAGAATAACTAGGCTAGACACAACAGAAAAGAAACAGCCTTAAAGGTGAGCCTCTAATTGCCATCCCTTTTCTACCTCAGTTGTGTCTGTGCTTCTAGAAGGTACCAAACCAATTTTTTTGTTACCGTTTTGTTCATCAGTGGTGACAAAATTAATATTGCTGCTCTCTGGGCGAAATATGCCACTTGCTGCAGTGATCACAGATATTCTTGTGCGATGACTTCATGCTGGCATTTGAGAGATTTAAGAAGTGCCCCATCCTCGTGGGAGATCCATCGGTTGCCTGTGCAGAGCATACTTGAATGCTTTCTTTTGAGAGCAAGTAAATAATAGCTATAAGGGCACCAAATTTTTAACTGAATCTAGCCTGATTTCATGGGCATACAAACACACGTGGGCAGACCCCCAGCGCTGTGTCTGCGTGGACAGAAGCAGGGTGGTGCTGGGGTAGTCAGGATTTGACTCTGGGTCTCAGCAGGTGCTGCTGCAGAGTCCTCTGAAGGTTTTATTAAATTGCAGCTTGTCTCTAGGGACATGCTGGCTGTGTAGCTGTGCCCTTATGGAGCTGTAGTCCAAGACATCCAGTGCTCTTGCAGATGTGCCTCTGTTGAATAGGCTTGTTAAACAAATCCACGGTATTTTTTGTCTAATGAGGTTGGGATGACCTTATGCTGTGATAATTATTGCATTGTGCTGAGGTGGCTTGTTAAGATGTCTCTTTTCATTATTTTTCCAATCTTTTTGGATTTTTTGACAGTTGCGAAGTGAGAAGGAGACGAGGAATAAGCTAATTGAAGCTGACATGAACGGCAAGCCTCAAAGTGGACTCTTCACCAAGTATGTCTCTTTCCTCTTTGAAAAGAAGCTGCCCAGAGAGGAATGGGAGACCAGCTTCATCTCTTAGTTGAGCCCAACTGACTGCTGGCTTAAAAAAAGTTCACTGCTGTTCATGTTCATTTCACAGTTTCTTTTAAATTTGAGTGCTCCCAAATACAATTTTAGCTGTTTCTTAGCATACCCACTGAATGGTAGAACAAGGAGTTGAGCTGGTCCTTGGTCCACCAGCTTCTGCTCTTGCCAAGTATCAATTTGACCTTTGGGCTGAGAACTGCATCTCTGCAGTTGCTCCCAGCCATATAGTCCATCTGATGGGTTGTGTTATGCTAGGAAAAGAGACACCACATTTTTTTTGATTGAGAAATGCTTGTAAATTGAGGAAATGTGAAACTGGCATTGGAATCCATGGCAAATGGGCAGTACTGAAAGTGCTGGGATGTTGAGTCTTTAGATGGATTTTGTCCTTTTGCTTGTTCTATATGTAGCAAATCATGTCTATGTGTTCCTGAGAAGCAGAACTCAGAAATAACTCGCTCGTCTGGTAGTCCTTAAAATTTCTTATCTTGCAGCAAAGAGAAGATTCTTTATGAGGAAGACACGCTGAAGTCCATGGAGATAGAGGAAGAGACCAAGGACTCTAGCAGTTCTAGTTCTGAAGAAGAGGAAGAAGCTGAAGAAGATGAAGTTTCAGAATCAGATGCTGAAAAGGAGTCAGGTAAGACTTGGTATAGTCTTGGATTTAATGATTAGCCTAGCAATGTTAGGAGATCAGCTTGAGAACTGCCTTTATTTTTTAGTTTCTTTTTTTTTTCTTTTTTTTTTTCTTTGTTGGTAAATACATCCTGAAAGGCTTACTCCAGTGTATATGTATAGGATGGGAGAATTCTATAGCTAATGTACTAGAAAAGCTGATGTAAATGCTGACTCCCAGGTCAGCATATTTTTACAAACAAAAAACCTGTGGATAGTATTTTAATTTCTACTTCCAGCTCACTTAAATTTAAGATAACACGTTGTTCATCGGTTGTTCTTAAACAGTAGTGTTTTTCTTGGCCAATTTCAGGATGAATACTTCAGTTACTGCAAGATGGTAGGAAAGCAATTGAACACGTAGGAAAGTTGTTGTATTTGGATCAGAGAAATGAAATGAAGGGCTGAAGCTGTTCTGTGTAATTATAGAGATGAGGAACTTTTTTCTGACTGTGCTGTGTAATAATTGCAAAACATAGTGGAAAGTAAGGATTAAGTACATTGAGTTATGTTAGCCTTTATAGCATATTGCTGGCATCCTACTCTCATTCGTTTTTCTATAATTTCTATCATTTCCTTAATTAGTCTAAACAGCATATATGTGCAGCACAGAAAGTTTAAATAAAGATATTTAATTTTACAGTAAGGCAAGACTTGTATTTAAAATTACTGCAAACAGAGATGGATCTTAAGCTATGATGTGTTTAATGGTTAACTACTTTTAACATCAGCTTACTTGGCCTATATCCCAATAAACTAATAAATTAGTGCTTGCAGAGAAATGTAATTTAAAGTTTTGTCCTGCTTCTTGTATCAGTAAAATTATCAACTCGGTTCTAATTAGATCAGTTACGATGTTTATCACAGTATGAGAGGTGTTGGGAATCCTGCCTGGTCTTTGAAGACCTGGTAGTTACAAAAGCTATTTGGGTATGACAGTAACAGGGTGAAATAATCTATTAGCTTTTAAATCAAGCAGATGTAGCGGAGAAGTCAGAGGTAGAAACAGGCATGCAGTAGAAGTGACATTTATTTGCTCCATAAATCAGGGTTTCACTAGAGAGCAGCCCTGTACAGCTGTGTGCCAATTCTTGTAAACAGGATAGAAACTTGACCAAAACACCTCTGACATATGTATGGCTGTAAGAAGTGGAGCTGTGTTTGATTCAGGAACAGCATAAGATCCTTAAAGAACGAAGGTGCTACATCACTCGGCATTAAATTGTGTGTAAAGCCAGAGTGAGTCTTTTTATTGAGTTAACTCACTGAGCAAAGCACATTATACTAATTATTTCAAACTGCTAAAGCTAAAACAAATCAAAGACAAAAAGCATTCAAATAATGATTAAGCATCAGGCTTTGTTACCTGTGCTTTCCTTTCCCAGAGAGATTATTGGCTCCTCTGGGAAATTTCAATCAGAATCGAAACCTACCTTGTAAACTTTTCAAATCTCTAATAAAATGAACATGGACTTATCCAGCTGGATTTCTGAACATAGTTGCCTAGTTGCATATGAATGGGGTGCACATTTTTGGTGCTTTTTTAAAACAAGATTCATAAGATAACAGCATCAACCCACATGTTGGAGGGCTCCAAAGGGATGAAAATAGCTTTTCATAGAAAACTATAAAGTTACAGTGTTCCTAGTTTCAAAGACAGTCTTAAGAACAATTATTCTTTATTATCTGCTAGACATTTTAAATGCTCAAATGGATACAGTAGACCTGTTTTTACAAATATGGAAATTATTTCCTTATTCCTCTTCACTTCCTTCTGATATCTAATATTCACATAGCTTTGTAATTCTGAGCAGTGCTGGACAGGTAGAAGATGCCTGTTGTTCCAAAACATTTGAAGTCCAGATGAAGGAAAAAAAAAGCATAAATATTGTTATGAGTGATCTTTTTAAACCAAGAAGTTTTAACTCCTTTGGCAACTGAGCATAAGGCAGGACCAAGTAGAAGCTGGCAGTATAATACAGTTTATTTTGAGGTATGTTTTGAAGGGTCTCAGGTTGCGATAAATCTGTTGAATTTGCAGAGACTGTGGGAGGAGAAGAAATTTGAAGAGGTAAGCAGTGAAATTCCTGGAGTGCTTCAGAGAGTACCATGTTTCTTACAGTCTGGAAGAAATTTGTGTTCTTCCAACAGGAAGCTAAGTGCATTAATGCCATTTTATTCATCTTGAGGACAATTAACAATTTGGCATTGGGCTCTATGTAAACAAGAGAAAGATCAGTATAAAATTATCTGGTCATTTTCTGTGCTGGTAACTATTACAATACATAATTATTGTGAATTAAAGAAGGCCAGGGAAGCTTTTTTTAAAAAAAGAAAACAAGCAAACAACGAAACAACCAGAGACCCTTAATAAAAATTGTATTTATGCCAAATTAGAGAACTAAATTTTTTGGTCTTGCCAAATTTGTTTGGGGGTGATTGAACTAATTCTTGCTGGTTTCCCTTGATTGGAATTCCTAATGTCTATTGCTGAAATTTTAGTAAAATAAAATGTGGGATCCTCCCCTAAAGGTGGTGATGCCTGTGGACACGCACTCTCTCATGCTGCTGGTACAAGGTACTTTTGCCTGTCCTTCTGTAGTTGACTCCTTCTGGTCACACTGCTCACAGTTCTTTCCAGCCTGTCATTACCACTTAAGCTTGTGCCCTTGTAATTAGGCTTGACCTTAAAAGCTGACCTCTGTACTATAAACTTCCAGAACAGACTACCAGTCACCATCTAGCCCAGCCTGTAAAGCCTGCTGGCTGTCAGGTCAGGTCTGTTCTCCCCTTCCTGTGATGTCCAGAATTCTCCCGAGTTTTACAGGCTTCAGTCTCAAGAAATCAGCAAATGGCAAGCATGTAATTTTTTTGTCTGTGCATTTCTGTGGACTGCTGTATGTCAAGCCAGGCCTGCAAGGAGAACTGGGTAACCTACTGCCCCTTCCTAAAAGGGCTGTTTGAAAGTGCAGCGCATCTGAGTGTTAGGCTCAAGAAATGAAATACTCTATTTAGATGACTGATGGAAGTTCTAACACAACACAGAGAGGGAAGGGTAGCTGAGACTTCACTATCATGCAGACCTTCCTAGGGTAGATGCATCTTTGTCTCTTTAATTCTGGATCTGTCAGTCCTGCTTACTGCTTGTTAATAATTGTAAATGTTTCTTTTGACTTCTCTTTTCTGTTTTCCGTGTCCTTTGAATCCTGTTTTCTAGGAGTGAGAACATTGTTTCAGAAAGATAGATCTTCATGCTCCAAGGTGCCACACTCACAGATGCTCCATACCGAACTGCTTTTTTTATATGTAATAGAAAATATTTATTCACTGCACATGACTCATTTGCTAGTACTGTTTGGGTGCTTACACTTAAAATGACTTTGTTTTTTCAAAACCATGACTGTGTGAGGCACTCATAGCTGTGAGAAGAAAACATTGTTTTGTTGATGTAGGTACATCATTTCTCAGACAGGTTGCATGTGGCTGTGTTTGGTAAATAGTCTGTCTTAAAGCCCTGTGCACTCCTGTCAATTGAACCTATTGCCTGAGATGTAATTTCTGCTTACTGTCTCCCTGGTCTGGTGGATGATGTTATGTCAAGCATCGTGCTTAGATACAAAAAAAATTTTAATACTGGACAATTGCACTTGTCTAACAAGCAGGGAGCCAGCTGTGAGCTTTGACAGGGTTTGCTTAGCTTGATTTGAGCCCTGTTAAAGATTTTCGTTGGGAATCAGTCCTAGCGTCATGTAGAAAAATGGATTTTGCTGTAGAGGACCAGATAACCAACATACGGAAATGAAGCAGAACTGTGCAATGGAATCCACCACCAGGCCCACTCGGGGACGTGTGCTATAATGCATACTCATGTACTATCACAGGAATGGCATGTTCTGCTTTTCTTCCCAAGTTTTACAAGGGAAGAACAATCCTTGAGAGGAAACAAAACTGTGAATAAACAAAAAAATCTGTTTGTCCTCCTTAAGGTGCTTTCTGCAAAGATTTTACTTGTTGATGGGGATAAAATTCAAAAGCTTTGCCTGGCAAATGTAGCCGTTCATATTTTGTAGTAAGTGGAAAGCCTCGTTGCAGAAAGCCCTGGTTAGCCTTGGCACGGACATCATCTTTATGATCTAAGGTGTACTGAGGTCACAGCAACGCTGAACTTGAGTTTAGTGCACACTGTGCTTGTAAAGAGGGGCCTTGGAAGTACAATACTGAAACATTTGGTTTCTCTTCTTGTTTAAAATTGTAGAAAGGAAGGAAGAGCCCTTTGCCAACCACTCCAGCCATGAAACCAGGCCTAGCACCACTGAGCAAATACCACCACCCGAGCCCAACTCCTTCACTGCATCTGCCAGAAGAGTAAGTGAATTTGGAATCAATGGGGACTCCAACAGTGCTCGAAAGCAGTAGGTTTTACTGGGGAATGGATGCTCTGAAACCGATTTTCAGAAGAGTTATAAGACTTGAGTTTAGGAAATCATGATATTATGCAGTTTTGATAAAGATGCTGTTAACAGTATAGGACTGGTACAGAGGGGGATGTTTCTATGATAAGGTTCCTCTTGAATCTCTTACCCTCCAAAGCAAATTGCTCTGCTCACAAGGGAAACCCTGCTTACTGCAAGTGCTTTGTGTCACTGTCAGTTCTGAGATAGCTGATACCAATCCCTCACCAGCAGGAGATCTTTCACCAAAGATGGTTCCTGCTGATGTATCAGCAGTGAATTTGGCGTCATCACCTAAAGTGCCTCTGACTTACCAAACTCAGTTGATTCGGTGCCATGATGTTACAGCCCAGTAAGCAGAGAGGATAAAGTTTGCATCTGACTGGCTTTCCTAGCTAGGCTATGAAAGCTTTTTAAAGGTGAAGTAGAGTTACTGAAATCTTATCTGAATTCTCCAGCTCTCATGTCACTCAGCTAGATGGCACCACGAGACTCTGTGTTCTGCTGAGGATTTACGCTTCTGGATTCTTTTTGCACCAGAATATGGAGAACAGCTATACAGTGCAGGCACCTTACCAGAGTCTGAAGCACTAGGTACATGTTAGAGGGAAAATGTTTCTTTCGTAGCCACAATTTTTTATTTTTGACGTGCTTACTAAGTCTAACTTCTCGTCCAGATCAAATGAAACAGAGCTCCTCTGGGAATTGTTCAACTCTGGCTTAGCAGAGGAAGTATTAAAGGTAGAAAGATAGTGGGAAGTGTGAGCATGTCAGTTAACTTTTTCTGAGCTGCAGAGTATGGTTCTCACTCATCTGAGCTGTTTAAACCAGACTAAGGCTGTTAGGATATAGAAGTGGACCTGTGTGCAAAGCAGTCATTAGACCTCGATGACTTAAGATCGGCTACTTTGCCTTCTCTTACATGTTTGATTCTTCTGTAACTCTTTGTCAGATTGGGTTTTATATGGGAAAATATGAGTGCTTGTGTTGCCCTCCATTTGTGGAGTTATTAATATGTGCTGTTCCTATGTTGTTCAGAAATTATGGAAGGCAGCTTTTACTGACGTTTTGAGCTTTTTCTGAGGAAAGTGTCAAAACTACATTAAAGCGTTAGAGCTGTGTAGCTCAGTAGACTGGAAGTGCTAGAATTGGTGGAGTACAGATTAACTCTGTGCATCTGCATTAAAATAACATTAGCTAAGAAACATTGCTGAAGTACTGCAGTGATAATTTTATCTTTGCAGTCTTGAGTCAATGAGTTTGAGGGCAGAACTCCCCAGTAACTTCATTTATTCTGGATAATGTCAGAATATTATGTTATGTAGAATTGTTATGCAGAATATCATATAATAATACTTATATCATCTTTGGCCAAAAGCCTTGTCTACCCCAGTATCCTGCCCTTGACATTAACCATCAAAAGATACTAGAGAAGACAGAATCCAGCTGGACTTCTCTCCCATCTTCTAGCAATTTGCATTTCAGGGACTTGCTGAACCTGTGGTACTTTCTGTGTTCAGTAACCCCTGTTGGACTTTTCCTCTATGAATTTACGCAGTCACTTTTTGAGTGCCCATAATGTTTGGGATCACATAATGTCCAATGGCAAAGGTTTTTCAGCTTAATTGCATATTGTACAGAGAGCCTCCGGCACCTGTTTTATTAAGCTGCCTCACACTGCTTTTCTTTATTGGCCCCAGTTCCTTCATGGGAAGAAGCAAGGAATAACTGATCCTTACCCTTCTATGTGCCACTGAGGCTTTTGTGTACCTTGGTCATATCTCAGCCTGGAGACTCCTGATACACTGAATAGCTCCTCATACAAAAGCTCTTTTGCTCTACTAATTCTTTCTGCCTTTCTTTGAATCTCTTTCCCTTCTTACTGCCTTTGAGCTGTGGAGCCAAGCTGTGGATGATTACAAGGATGTCATTTTTACCCTACAGTAACACAGAGGCATAAGGATGTTGTGTTTCATATTCTATTATTTTCCAGTAATTCTTAATATTTTGTTTGCTTTATTTCCTATACAACTTGGTGTTTGAGCCTCTGTCTTTGTAGAAGTATGTCTTGCAGCACCTGGGCTCCATTCTTGAATGGCAGTAGGCATCTTTTTGTAAGACTTGATAAATATAACTAAAGTTGTACATTTAAGCAGTTGTATATTTGAGGAATAATATATGCTTGTCAGAAGTGCCTCATGTAACAAAAAGCATGAAAGTCCGTTCTGTAGTATGTAGAGAATACACAGTTACCTGACCATAGAAAGGTTTAAGCTAGAGTGGGCCTCTACAAGCCTGTAGTCCATCCAACCTCTTGCTTGAAGCAAGGCCAACTTCAAGCCTGTGTCATGTTGCTTTCAACTACCTGCACTCACCTGGGTATTAAAAAAGTCTCTGAGGATGGAGATGCCCCACTCTTGTGCTCCCTGTCCCAGTGCAGCAGTGCTCCTACCAGGAGGTATGTCTTCCTTCATGTCAGTTGGGATTTCTTATGTTGGAACTTGCCTGTGTTTCCTTCTCCTTTCACTGTAGACTGTTGAGAAGTCTGGTTCCATATCCTCTGCAAACACCCCTACCCCCACCCCCAAGTAGCACAGCAATTAAATCCTTTCTTTGCCTTCTCTTTTCCATGCTAAACAAGCCTCAGTCTCTCCCTTTACATCCTGTGGGCTCCAGATCCCTGATCTTAATGTCTTTGCCTGGACTCTCTCCAGTTTGATTTGTGTAAGGGTTTTATTTGCAGCTAGTCCCAAAAGAGTTGATTACTCTTGTTGGTTTTCTGCCTTGACTGAATAATTCCCCCTTCCTAAACAGGTGCTAATAAAAGCTTGATTGTTCCTTATATTCTTTCTGCAAAGCTGGAGGAGGGCATTGTGTAGGCAAAGGGAGCTGCACAGTGACAGAAGGCTTCTTTCAGCCTTGGGGATGAGGGCATTACAGCAGTTTGTGCCCCTGTGAGTTCACCTTCCACTATGTCCTGTAACTAAAGCTAAGCAGGAAATCAAAGTCACTCCATCTTGTGTTTATATGTGTAGCCCAGCAAAAACTGGGGCTTATTGAAATGCTTTCAGAAATTATTGTGTCTTGCAGTGCTCTTCTTCCAAATGTCCCTTTTTCTTCTCTACAGTTCAGTTGGCTCAGCAAGTCAGACGAGCAGAAGGATGAGTCACCTTCATCGTGGCGGCTGGGACTACGGAAGACTGGCAGTCACAACATGTTGAGTGAAGTCGCTGCTACTCGTGAGGCGCAGAGAGATAAGACTTCTATCTACCGCTCTTCATCAAGTCCTCGGATATCTGCGTTATTAGACAACAAAGAAAAGGTTTGGCTCTCAGCAAAGATGCTTTAGTGCATCCCAGTTGAGCAGATTTTACCTCAGAGGTTTAAGACCCTCTCCCTTTCGAGTTATTGTTGGGGTTTGTATGCGTAACAAACTTGGATCACTTTCATTCTTTTTTTTTCTTTTCAAAATTACTCCTATCGGTTGGTCTTGCAGAACTGGAGTTCAGTGCCCCTTTGACCTAATTCCTGCTCAGTTTGCAGTGGGTTGCCAGTGAACAAGGGCTGTTGATCTGGCATGGCTTGTTCTTTACTAGAAAGTAACTAATCCAGACAGCAGCACATACCTGCAGTGGAAATTCTCCTTCACTGTTGTCTATATGGATTCCTCCTATACCAGCTGTATTTGTGAATCCCATCCTACATATTCACTAGCTGTAACTTTGCTGTCCATGGGTAGATGCCCCATCCCTGAAAACATTCACAGTCAGGTTGGATGGGGCTCTGAGCAACCTGATCTAGTTGAAGATGTCCCTGCTTGTTGCAGGGAGGTTAGACTAGATGAGCTTTAAGGTCCCTTCCAACCCAAATCATTCTATGATTCGGTGATTCTCTGATAGTTCTAATTAGAAGCTGCTTTTATTCACTAATGTGCTCTTCAAGAAATCATTTTCAGAACGGATACTTTTATGCTGTGGTATGCAAGAGCGTGCCTTAAACCTGTTGTCCTTAGACAGGAAAATGCCTTCTTAGTTGAAGAAATTTGAACATGAATTTAGTTGTCACTGAACTTGCTGGAAGTGTAACAGCTGTGCAGTTTAGGTACTTCTTTTGCTTCCCCAGGATAAAGACAACAAGAGCTATCTTGCCACAATAGCCCCAAGAAGACTAAGCAGTACAAGCGATATAGAAGAAAAAGAAAACAGGTGAGACTGAACTTAATGCTCAACTTCTGTCCTGTCGCTAGCTCCTCCAGAATACCTTTTTTTTCTGTAGTCATGTATTTTTTCAGCAGTCCCAAGTACACAGGAATTTAGAGTATCTAGAGCTATGTGATCTATAAGAGTTTCTGGTACGTTACTTTTCATTCAGGTGAGCAGAGCAACAGGCTGGTTTCTCCACCCCTGTATTCATACATATATAGTCTCCATCCAGGAAACCAGATTTATGCATAGATTCTCCTTTTATGTACAAGGGCCTCATTTTGTAGCTGGCACCTACACTTGTACTTCTGTCACTTGGTCAGTAGTCACCTTCAGTCCCTTTGTTCACATCTGTCATTTTTTGATTTACATGAGTTTGTGAACTCATGTATGGAACCGCTTCCACTGCAGGAGTTGGTTTTTTATGGTGAATGTGTGTAGTTGCCCCTGGACAGAACCACAATATGAATGGGATAAATATCTAGTCTCTCAAGTTACATTTGAGGAGCTAATCTCTACAAACAGGTTCTTCACACTTAATGCTAAAAGGAGTAAAATTTGAGCTTAGTCTCATTTCTAGCCACTTCCACAATTCTGGCAGGAAGGCACATACAGAGAAGTCATTGTGAACTGTAATTGTTGTGAAGAAGTCATGGCAGATGACCACCCTGAGAGAATTTCAGCACAGTTTGAGACTCTTTGCTGATCTTTTGCTGGAACCTCCCTGCTGCGTTCTTGCTTAATCTCAGCCAGTCACTGTGATTTGGAGTTTAGCAGACAATTTGTGTCTGCTGATAAGCTTGAGCAGTTTTGGCAGTGGCTCATATTGAGTGGCATAGCCAGCTGACTGCTGATAAGTGTCCTTTGCTTGGTAAAGTAGGGAATGAGGAGAATTGGCCTGCATGAACAGATGGTGCCCAGACGTACTGTGTAGTACAGATTTTTCCCAGTATTCTTTCCTTTCAAAGCAGCTGAGTTTCACTTCATGGAACCCACAGGTGTCTGAAAGGGCATCAGCATGGACACGGCAATTGAAAAATGAAAAATAATTGCAGGCTGACGAGTGAATGGATTTGTGTCGCATTACAAGCTGGAGGTCCTGTCCAAGACTAGAAAAGGACATACTGCTGAAGTGTGTATTGGGAAAAGGAGCCGAGAGTTCAGATAACGATGATAAACAGGATTGCTAGTAATTTATTGATAACTTGTCAAGTAGTTTTAGATATTGCCAAATACTTTGTTTTCTGCTGCTAAATATAGCAAAGTATTTGCCATACTGAATTGTTTTACTGTCATTGCCTGGATACCTCAGGGGATAAAAACTTCCCCTATAACTGCAATATCTGTCCATTTATGCAATGTTGTTCGAGACAAGATGGCAGAGAGAATGTCAAATGACATTATTTAATGTGTTAAATTACTTGTATGGGCAATCTAAATTTCAGTAGCAACTTTTCTGACTCTTGTTCCTCTTTATGCAAAACGTTACATCATCTGGTAATTCTTAAGTAATACAGCTAGCAGTAACAATCTGATGTTAAGGCCAGAAGTGTTTCAGTGAGTTGTCACATGTGAACAGCAATGCACATAGGTGTAAGGGAAGGATTTGTGATGTAGAACTGTAAAGGAGCCAAAAGCAGACTCCAGAAGTTTTTCTGAACAAACCTTGTGCTCTCTCCTGGATTAGAGAATCAGCTGTTAACCTAGTGCGCAGCGGCTCTTACACCCGGCAGCCGTGGAGGGATGAATCAAAGGGAAACGAAGCTCCCCATTCTGGTGCACCTACTACCTACGTATCTACCTACTTGAAAAGGTATGTCCAGTTCTGTCTTACATGGGTTCCCAGGCAGTCAGTTCTACTCTTAACATGCCTCCCAGACTTCAGCCTCCTGCTTGCTGCTTACTTCATCACGGTAACTGTCCTTGGGACCCTCTTCTGTTAAGAGCAGGAAATCAACATTAAGACTTGCTGACATTTGTCATGCTAAGTAGTATTTTTAAAGGCCATCGTTTTTGTTGATTTGTAAATTGCTGAACTAAATTTAAATACTTCTGTTCATATAATTCAAATGCTAAGTGATTTCCCAGTTTTATGCTAGTATTATGGTAAGATAGTAAACCCAAAATTGATCATAAAAAAAGAATAAAGTAATTACAGTCTGAAAGCACTGTTCAAATAGCTATTGACAGGTAAGTCGTAGATTATCTCTAATTTTGGTTTATATTAGTCCATGTTTATGGCATCATTATCAGAAAAGTGGCAGTGTTTTTGTACATGACTTACAGCACTTGCTAAGGAGTAAGACTGTCTCTAGCCGGTTTTTTTGTGGCAGTAAGGAAGCTGCTTCTGCTTTACAGTGTATGTGAAATTGTAGAGGCTGATTGTTGGTAAACTATCCAAGTGGAATAAGGAAAGCAGTCCTGCACATAACTTTTTTTTAATTGGCAGTATCTTTTACCCCTTTGGAAGGCAGAGGTTCAGTTTCCTTGAAGTACCAGATAATGGCTGCCTCTGAATGAGGGGAATGAATGCCCTGCTCTGTTAAGACAAATAATACATTACTGAGTTTTCATCTCAGTTGTGAGAAACGTGCGTGTATAAACATGTCACGCTGCAAAGCCATTTGATCTGTGCTTACGGAAAAAGGCAAAAATATTTCAAGGTTTTAGATTGTGTTTCACCAGATTCTAGACCCTGAACTAAACTGTCCTAAAGATGGAACAATTGCTTGAGATATTTGGGAAGAGTAGGTTTTTTGTGCTGTAGTAGTTATGTTCGTAGAGGTAAGTTGTGCTCAAGGATGTGTCTGTCCAATTGCTGAGCACATACAGACCCATTTCCACAAAAGGTGAAACAGCCACTTCAAGCAGTAGACTTCTCCTGGGCTGCTGATCCATTCCAGTGACTTCACATCTATCCTGGGACATGATGACAGGCCAGCCTCCGTAGCTTGTCTCTCTCCAAAGGCAGTCCGACCAGCCACAGCTGATTACATTGGAAAAATGTTGCCTCTTGCAGCTGGCATGCCTTACTGTTCCCTAGTCTGAGAGAGAGAGTCCAGTCACTCTCATGGCTGTTCGCTGAAGTTTTATAAACATTGCCAGGTTATCTCAGCTAATCCAGAACCAGATTTAGTATTACATTCGCATAGTTGTACTGTATTTCCTTGGTTAAACTATACAGAGATGAGTGAAGGTTTTGGCCAGCAGTAGTATTTTGCTAACACCTATTTTTTGTCACAAAGGCTGAATTCTGGCCTTTCATAGGAGAGGGTTGGTTTACAAGCAATTACAGAGAATAGCTTTGCTAGGTAGGAATAAAGTGTACTTTTTATAGAGAGATGAATAGTTTTGCATTTTATGTACAAACAGTAAAATCATGATCAATTTGACCTTTATCTCATGGGTTTCTATAGGAGAACACAGAGAAATTAAATATAATCGTATTGAACCTCTGATTTTTCCAGCTTTGTGCATCAGACCTCTAAGATGAGGAAGGGAACCTGGTTGCCTGTCAAGAATAAGCTCTTTGTCATTTCCAAGTATTAATGAAACTCTGAATACAGCTCCAAAAGATAAAAGCTTGTTCTGAGAGAGGAAGAATTGAAGTGAACTTGACATTACTAAGAGGATGACTTCTGTACAGCTGCATTTCCCCTTTACCTTAGCATTTAACTAATCTCCATAAAGAGATGTTATGGAGGTTAGTTAAGTTCTAGTTATGTTCTAGAAGTGCTTTACATGACCCCCAAACAGAGAGTAAAGAGCAGCAAGAGATCATCTTAAGATGTTGAAAATGCCTTTTCTTCCAAAAAGGAACTAAATAACTTGCAGCAGTGTTGCAAACGTTCTTCACCTTTAGTTGAAGCAAATGTTAAAGCTCTCTCTGTAACGGTGATGTCATTCATTCTGCTTTCTCTATGGGTGTACCACTAGCCCAAAAATTCACTGAACACTGTTCTGACAGCCTGTTCTCCAATTTGGTGCATATTGGCCTTCAAACAGCCAGTTCACTTTGCCTGTATATTAAAGGATTTGGAGGAAAACTGGCATGGCATGTTGAGTTAATTCAGCATCCTTCCTTTGACATCAGCAATAAGTGATGCCGCACGGGAGGGGATCACACACACCAGAATGAAATCACTTTTTCACGCAGTTCATTTCACATATTGGCGTATGTGCCTTCTTCCTGGTTTTGTTCACCTAAAAGCCATCACAGTGAGTCAGGCCAACAGTCCATGCAGTCCAGGCTGTTTCTGACAGCAACTGGTTTTGAAGGAGATGTTGCCACAGCTAGGATAGCTTAAGAGCAGTCTTCTACCTCCCACACTCTCTTTGCTTCCAGCAATCATGAATTTAGGAGCCAGGAGTTATACTTAACCATTGTTCTTAATAGCCACCACTGTGGCCAACTTCCATAAGCAAATCCTGTTTTGATCTCTGCAATACCCTATGGCAGTGTGTTAAAAAAAACAAAAAAAACCAAAAAAAACACAACATGTTTTGTACAAACCTTTCTTATCAGAATGTGTGGAAGCTTTTAAAGGTCTTGAAGGTTTTTAAGATTTTGAATTCTACTTGCCTTAGCTGTTTTCGGAAGTATTTCTTTTTGTTGATTTGAAATGTTGCTTTCCATTTCATTGCTTCTTCCCTGATGGTTATGTTATGGTGATTATGTTACAGAAGAGTAGCAGTATGTCAGTGCCTTTTTTTTATTTCTAATGTTGAATTATTTAGCATAAATTCGTAAACCTCCCTTTTACAGATTCATATGAACACAGCTGTTAATTAACAAGATTCCCCAACTAACCTTTTCCTTGCAATTTCTGGTCCTGTTCAGATCAAATGTGATCACTTTAATAATTGCCTTAGAGGCCTCCTCAGACTGTGCCATGCCACACATGCACGGTGACAGGGTGGGGAGGTGAATTCCTGTAGAGCTGGCAATGCCTTGCCTCCCTTCTTGTGAGCAAGAGTGTGTGTATGATGCCCCAGCACCACATTTCTCCAACCCGGGGCATGTGCATGTAGGAGTTGGCACAACACCATCACCATGTTCTCTTCCTCCATTCCTCCTCCTTCCCCTATCAGCCTGCCCACATCTCTGCTCTCCCAGGTGTTGCTCCCATCCTCTTGTCTCCCCTTTTCACCCATTACCTTTCCCTTTTGAAGGGCAGTCCTTGTCAGGTCTTACTCAATAACCCTCCCATGTCCTCCTTTCCTGACCAAGTTCCTTCTCTTTTTTTCAGCCACCCCTTGTGGTCCACCCTTTCTGCCTTGGGCTCTCCTAGGATGGTGCCACATCAACCCTGCTCTCCCCAGGGTTGTCACCTTTTCCCCTGCCACTCCTCTTGTTCCTTCCTCCTGTGCACGCTCCACTACCATCATCTCAGTACACTCACATCTGCAATTTCACGGCTGCTTGCTCTGCACACCCACGCCAGGCAGGCTTAGCTCGCTGCTCCCACCCTCCTCCCAGCCCGTCTCCAGGGCTTGGCCTTTTCCTCTGCTGCAGAGAGCCAAGAAGGGAGGCACTTGCTTCCAACAGGACTTCCTGCTCCTCCGTGCTCCAGGCAGGGGCCGCTTTGCAGAGGAAGCTCTGTTTAGGGTGGAGGTTGCTACCTGGTGACAATAACTTGCTTGTTCCCTTGTGCTCTGGGTATAGTAAACAGCCATCAACTGAAGAGCCCGAATGTAAGGTTCCTCCCCATGGAGGTCTTCCAGGATGCCCCGTTCTCTTCTTCGGCTGTCTAGGGACCAGCTGCTTGTCCTGGGCTGGCTGGGAGCCTTGGCACATAAAACTGATTTGTAAATTGGGTGCCGAAGTGAATTGGACTGGATCCTTCTGCAGACCTCCTGTCCTTGGCTGTTGTCCTGCCCCTTTTTATTTCGGCCTTGGGCTGCTCTCTCTGACTCTTACTCTGGTGTTGACTTCTAGTTCCAGTCCGTTGTCCCTGGCTTTCCCATAAACCTGCAGCTCTTTGGCCCGGTCTGCTTTTCCTCTAGGTCAGCCTTTATTTCTGGTGCAACCACTTTCCTCCATGTGCACTGGCATGAGAGTCATTAGGATGCAGGAGGTGAGAGGCAGCCTTCCAGCCTTCCTAGACTTTGATCCTGCAGACAGCCCAGTCTGACCAGTAGCAACCAGGAATACCAGTTGCTGGGAAAGGCGTGGCAGGGCCCTAGATCCTGCATGTATGCTTGTTTGCTCTGTGCAGACAACAAGCAGCCTTTATATGGGGCTCTGGCAAATGCAGTAAGGAGATTTTGCCAGATTTCATCAAGTCTGTTTTTAGACATGTGCAACTTCTCCCACTTAGGGTGGATTTTCTCTCAAAGAGCGAAAGCATACGTCCTCATTTGAGAGCCCTTTTCTTCTGTCTCTTTTCCAAAGTATGAGCACTTAAACACCTACAGCTTTTCAGTAGTAATGATTTTTGTTTTAAACTGGCAAAACACATATTTCCCTTGGTCATTCTTGAATATTTTTATGCACAGTTTTGCTAGCTATTTTCCAGAAATAGAGTTTTTGCCAAACATGCTTTAAAGAAAATTAAAGCCTGAACTGATCATCTTTGCCAAAGCTTTAAGCCACTGAAAACAAGTTCTTAAAACTGGAAGTACTGGGCATCCTTAGGAGGTGATGCAGCCAGACCTGCTTATGTCACACTCCCCTGCTTTAAGCAACCTCATCCTTGCTCATTGTTTCTACCTTTCCCCAGTACACAGGGATGCTTTGTGTGCGCCGCTTCCACTGCGGTAGAGTTTTTCCTTTCCCTGATCTTCACTGATTCACCTCCATGCCGTTATCCTCTCACTGAAACTCAGCTGGGCTTAGCTTAGAGGGATGCTGCTAGCGCTAGCCTGCGTGAGCAACCCGCAGCAACTCCGGTGTACTCTAATCTCCTTGCATACGTTTTGCTAAGATGTGATACTTGCTCCCTTTCCAGCTGAGAGCCCAGCTGTGGTGATGTTCTGTTGAATATTTACTGTGCTCTGAAGGACGTGATTTTGATGTTTTACAGTGCTTCATTTGGTAGAAGTAGTGACCTCAGCAGTCCCTACATTTCAGCCAGTCGCAATACATCTCTAGCTACCTCACCCACTACCATTGGTTCATCTACCTCATTGGGCACCCCGTGGCAACCTGTCTCTTCCTGTCCCACATCTCTCGGTGCGAACACTACTGCATCAGCCCGCCAGTATACCAGGTAATGGCTCACAGCTGAGATAACACTGCAGAAAATCAGCATTTGGGTTGGAAGTTCTGAATTCTGGAGTTGGATTATGGATTTGGAAGTGTGCTTCCACGCGGGAAGTGCTGATAAGAAATCCCAGAATGGTTATGTTGGACAGTTTCGGTAGTGCCTGTGCACCAGCAGGCAGTTAACAGCCCGTATATGACCTTAGGTCTTCACCCACTGGAGTGGTCGATTGTGCCCTCTTGCTTCCCTGTTAGAGACACAATGTGTTGCTCAGGCTGCTCTTGGATGTTCAGTGTACAAGCTCTTGGAGTTCGTTCCTTCTGCTTATTCACCAGGTACACTTGCTAATCATTTTTGCTACAGACAGGGATGTGAAGACTATAAATTCCTCCTGCTTATTCTTCTACAAATTTTTTAAAACTCATTTTAATGTGTGCTGTGCTCTACAAAATCATGAGTCTAGAACAAGGAGAATGAACTGTCAATGTTCCCTTGAGGTGGCTGGTCTTGGTCAGCAGTTGAGTTCACTTGCTTTGCTTTCCATTATGTCTTCTCTATTTCAGAGCCCCTTTCAGGCAACAAACTGATTCTGCTGTAGAGAAAAGTACAGAGGGCATCTCTGCTAGCACCCCCCTAGGTGTAATCACAAATCGTGCTATACTCGGCTCTGCTAATGGTATTGCGAATGCTGGTGCTGCCTCAACTACAGGAAAGGACTTCTCAGCTGAGGAAGCCAGGGAGCGCAGAAGGTCAGTGAGCAGAGTGCCGGTGTGTGTCGGTCCTCCTCTGTGATCAGGTCTCACGTGGTGGTGATGGTGGGGCTGTAAGAACTGTTTCTTAGGTGCTACATGGAGTTACAGGCTGCTGCCCCCTTGCTCCGTTTTAAGGTTTGGAACTGAGTCATCACTGGCTTGTAGGTTATGTTTAGTTTCATAATTTTCTACTTGTCTTTTCAGCATCTCAGACTTTTTCTTTAGTAGTCATCTCAGCTGCTAATCCCAATCCCTAAGGCCTCTCTATAGAGGGACAGACAGCCTGGTGGTTGCTAGCTGTAGGTTCTGTAACGTGAATCCCATCCTAAAAAGAATGTTGGACTGAGACACGTTTGGATAAAATCCATCCCTCTTGATTCTGCTCAGCTAATTTTACATGTTCCCTGATGGAGACATCTCTGCTGCACAAGTCCCCTAGATTCCCTCTGCAGTTAGTGGGGGAAAAGAAACATTCCTGGAGCTTGTAGATGTGCGATACAGGAGGAGGTGGACTGTGCTCCAGCAACATGCATTTCTTTTGATTGACTATAAAGGAAGACACTTACTTAGAGGTAGAAGTCTGCCATGTACAGCTGAGGCTATTCCAGCAGTCGCACATTGTGAATTACTCTGAATCTAGCTGGTGGTATTTCTTTCTTATCATATGATGTTATTTTAAGACTGGGGAAACAAAAACCTGGGGTAACCGGTGCCATTTTCAAAGGAAATTTACAGTGTGCATTTAAGTACAGAATATCAAATGACCCGTAATTATTTCTGCAAACAGGTTAACTTTTGCAAAATCTCCTGATGGCATCAATTAAAGTAAATGGTAATAAATAAAATGCAGCAGTGAACTGTATTTCTGACTAGCAACCAGTTCATGGAGTGTTTTCAGTAATTAGATTCTTCCAAACTAAAATAGTAACTCCTTAAAATACAGACCTTCCTGAGTGAAGATGGTACTCTGGCATACTTTAAATGCCCCGAAGCCAAAGGATGTGGAAAGCAATGATGGAAATTATCAGCGTGCAAAGGTAAAGGTGGTAGAGCTCAGCAGTGCCCTGTAATCTGCCACCAGCCACGTGACCTCTCCCATGGAGGGAGGGCGTGCTTGCTGCAGGCTTCTTTGCCTCAGCTGCAGGTGATCGAAGAAGGAAGGTGGTCTTTTCTATTTGGAAAAATACTCAAACTTTTAATGCTATTTGGGCTGCTTTTTTTTAATCCAGAGCTAGCACAGGGAGTGCTTTGAAGCTATTGTAAGCATTCTAGATGAGCCACATTCATCAATGCTGTATGCAGGATTCAGGGATATAATCTGAAATAGCTACTGCAGAGTATCTTTATAAGAACACTTAGTTTAATATTAGGAGAGCCTCTGGAGCTCTCAATCGTGGCAGTTTTGCTAGGGGTCAGTTGGCTTAGTGTCACTTGCAATTGAATTGAGATGAGCTGCCAAAAGATACTCCCGGTGCAAAGTGAGATTGTGCAAAAGAGGACAGAGTGAGTATTGTGCTTTCAGTTCACACTTCAGTTTCACAACAGTATCTCCATTTTGGTAAGCTCAGAATCAAGTTGCAGAAGCGTTAGATTTTTCCCTGGAGAAGTGGGATCCACAAAACCCACCAGACTTCTGGCACTGTCTGCAGACAGGGAACTTGATTGTGATAGTACTCGTAGATGCCCAAAAGAGCATCTATTAATATTACTGCATTGGCATTTATTGCCAAATGAGTTTCTATAAATAATATAGGTCTGTTCATCTCCTGCATTTTTATTAGAGAACTATCTCCTATGAATTATGGCGATGGTAAGAGAAACACCAGAAAATTCCTACCACCTTTAATTGATGCTTTGAAACTACTGAGAGGAAAAAAAAGCACAGCAATGATGCATTGTGCTTGTGGGTGGAGGAAACCTTACTTATGAATGTATGTTCTAACAGCAGGACATACGAACTGGGGAACTGCCTGCACATTTTGAACTTGGAAACCTGGACCTAGAGAAACAGGAGGGGTCACCAAAATGGGAAAAGCTTGTTTTGGAAGGAGACCAATTCCAGAAAAATAAAATAAAAAAAGAAAATGGCAAACAGTTGTCAGGGAAGCACTATATGGATTTCAGTTCCCACCGGCAGCTGTTGCAGTAGCATTTGGTCTGCTTCAGTGTTTCCAAAGCTCCAGCTTTCTCTTAGCAACAAAAACATAAACAAGCTTATCATCTAATATTAGATCACAGGGATGTCTCCTAACTTGTGGCCTTAAATTATCTGTGTGAAGCCAAAAGGTTAAAGCAGAACAGACTGCTAGGTCTGGGGAGGAATGACTAGTGAAGTGCTCTGGAGTGCTCTTTCACATCCTTTGGTGGCCAGAAAGCCTCACCCTGGCCCACCAGAGCATTCCATCCATGGCATTTTACCTGCTGCTTGTTTACTAGCTAAATTGGTCAGCAAACGCTCCAGTAGCTGAAAAATAGTATGAATCATGCCTCACGTCATTACAAAGGGGAGGAAAGAAAAAACCAGAAAGGAAGGCAGCACGGGAGGAATCAGTTTGGAGGAATGCAATGCAGTCTGTCTACCTGGATGGACTGTAGGAAATCGTGGCCTGGTGTGAGAGCCGTATGTCTCTGCTGTTCAGCCAAGCTCCTGCTGTGCATATTTACATGTACCCAGCTGCACGATCTGCCTCCCTTTATTCTGCTGCAGCACTGCAGTGTGCTGATGCTGAGAGGCTGGAAACATGCCATCTTCCAGAGTCAATATTTTTGCCAGGCAATTTCTTTTTCATGGGAATTTTGGAGCCACTGATGACCATTGCTGTTTTGGCCATTTTATGATCTCCTGCCAGTGTCAGATTGTCTCACGTTGCAAATTGCATTTATCCAGCTGCACTCAAAACAGCACTGGCTCTGCTGAGGGTGAATTACAAGCGTGTGGATGCTGTGCCTACAGTATCTCACGCAGACCTTGTTTTTTCTGGTGCAAAACTAACATCCTTTTGGCTTCCGCTTGGCACCACGAGCAGGTGGTGGGGACTCGGGGGTGCTGTCGGTCGCAGCCCACTGCTGGGTTTATCCTTCGTCCGGACTGACAGCGGCCTCTAGTGCCACCAAAAGCTCCTTTGCAAAGTTCATCTGCAGCCTTGTCCGTCTAGTTTCAGTGCAGGGCTCTGTGGCCAAATCTTCTGCCGGGAATCCCGCGCTGCAGCCGCTCTCCAGAGGTCTGCTGGTGTTGCAGGCTCCCTGCATGCTGAAGGCTCCTTGGACCTGTGTCCCCTGTGCGTGGAGAGGGGTCTGCAGGAGCTCTTGGCCAGCTGGAATGGGACTTGTGCCTTGAGACATCTGGGACTCTCTGAAGCCTTTCCTGTTATGTGAAAGCTTTGGTTCCCAGAGCAGTTTGAGAGGCTGCTGTGCTGCCCAGGGCTGGGGGGCAGCTGTCATGCGGGGTAAGACAAGCTTTGCCTCAGAACTTCTGAAAGGCTAGTCTGTGTTCTCAGTTGTGTGACCAGTTTAAAATGACACTCCTGAATTTGAAATCTGGTCTGGTTTTGTAAGAATTAAGATTTTAATTTGTCCTTCCTCTTCCCTTACCCCCCACCCTTTGTTTATACAATTGTATTCTGCAATTGTATTTGTTCTTCCTGTTCCTCGGGAAGGTTCCAGCAAGGTGGTAGCACTTGCCATCGGGCAGGCTGTTAGAAACAGGAAACATGTCTTTCTTTTCCTTATTTTTGAATGCATTGTGTCCAGTTTCTCAGATAAATCAAGAATAGGAGTGAGGTAGACTTGTTTTCTTAGAGGCTTTGGGGCTGATGGTGCTCAGCCTGGCTTCTTGCCCTCTAAAGTTTCCCCTAGGAATTTTTTTCAGATGAAGAAAGTTCACTGACGTGCAGGGTAAATGTGTCTAGCAAACAATTCTCTTTTCTGCTTCTTTCCCAAGAGGAATTTATTTTTCATTCTTCGTTCCTTCATTCTAAGGATCCAGCAGCTAATTATAGTAGCATATATTAATAATATATTAATAACTGAATCCTCCTCCACTAGTACTGTTAGATGAACAATTTTTGGCAAGTCCTTTCACCTTGTCATTCTTATCCTGTCCAAATTCAGAGCATGACTCCTCTGGGGTGAGCACAAATGCCTGATATATCTGTTAACCCTTATTACCTGACAAAAAAAAATAAAAATCCCTATCTCTATAAAAAGTTAAACTATGGGGTTTGCATTCAAGGGGTATTTAAATGTCACTTGAAAGGAACTGGTGGAAAAAGCTCTGAGCATTATCTCTATCACCTTGGGGTTTTGACTTTATAATCCCTATCACTGACTGACATAAAGCTGAGTGGTCTTAATTCTCCTGGGAAAAGTCCCTGGGGAAGCAGCACGGTGGGGATAGTTGTGCAAGGTGCTGCTGCATGGCGAGGGACAGACTCCCGTCGACACTACACAGCGGACAACAAAAAGTTAAGAGGTCTCTCTCTTGTGAAGAACTGAACAATCATCTGGCACCTGCCGTTGAAAGCATTTATCTGCCATGCTTCTGTGGTTAATCTCTTTCAGATAAAGTTGTCCCTTTTTAAAAAGGCTGCTGGTGCAGATGACGTGGGAGGGCAGGAATTCTGCTGGCCATCGGATTGTCCATGTTGGGAAGAGACGAGATTGCTCCTGCTGTATCAGAAATCAGGCTGCATTTTTATTTGGAAAAAGGTCGAGGTGTGGGATGGGGGTCACTGCTGCTGAGCCTGGTTTCCTGTAGAGAAGGCGAGCAGGTGTGCTGCTGCGTGCTCAGCTGCCGACTGACTTTATCCAGTGCTCAGGGGAAGGGGGGGAAATATTCTGACATTTGCTTTGGGCGGAGGAGCCCAGGATGTAGGTTGGCCTGCTAACTCAAAGCAGGAATATATGTGGGATCCTCCAGGAATGGTCAAGGAAACGAAGCAGGGAGCACTTGAGCTAAGCAGTGTAAAAGAACTACAGCTTGACAGCATGGAGCAAGC